GTAAATCCTGCAGTACTTTCTCAGTTGCTCGAGATCAGGATCAACCCTTAATTCCAGGACAATCTGTTCACAAATTTTTCCAAACTGTATTTTTTGCTTTCCTCAACTCTGTCAAAGGCTTAGGGGCATTTCTGTCCAGCTCTTGACTCACTGACCTTATGAAAGAGTAGAACTTCCTTTGCATTAGGAAAATTATAGAAGGTCTCGTTCAGCAAGACATCTAAAATCATGTTTTTCCAGTTAAATATCACAAAAGGGTGGTTCAATTATAGTGCTCTGTTAGGAAATAAAAATCAATGCTTCAACTTTTTGATTATAGTAAATGAAATCTAAAAATTAAAAAACAAGTAATTACTCCAGGGCTGTGACTCCTGAGGGTTTTTTACCCCCTTTATTAACGTTTAATGAACATTAGGTTCAGGAGCATTAGAATACAATATGAGAAAATCAGTATGAACCCACAGGAGAAGGGAAAGAAACCAGTAAGCTTATTCTTGTTTCTATGTACGTACCCTAATACAATGATGGCTATGGGAAAGGTTCTCAACTTTTCAAAGGTTTCTAGTTCAAAATTGATTTCTACTTTGGGTCTATGAGGAAAGTAATCTGCAAGGTACTTGCCATGTTGAGACTTTAAAAATGACATGGAGTCTTATAACTCCTATGCCGTAGAATTTTTTTTTAAGTTTAGCTACTGCTTTGAGGGACACAATGAAGTAGCCTTAGGCTGAGAGGAGGAGGGATTCATGTTTTATAAAATACCACCATTCCCAACACCCTCACACACCCTTAAGGCTACCTGGGTTAGAAATCAGTAGAAAGAAACATCTGTTTGCAAAGACTTCTTGGGATACACAGTTTAGCAGACCACTTTTTTAGAACAAGTTGATTTTGTGCGTTTTACAAATCTGTTTCACTGAAGTTTCTTTCATCAGGGTTAAATCCTACTTTTGTTTTATAATCTGACTTCTAGAAAACTCTGATTTGAGGTAAAAAATATATATTTTTTTAGCCTGAGAGTAAAATTCAGCAGCATACAAGATATTATGTGATATAATCATGTGTGTGCAGGTGCGCATGTGCCAGCATTTTCCTGTTGTTTTTTTAAAAAAATTTTTCCTGGTGTTTTCAGAAAGAACATTATTCTGGAATGTAAAAACAGCCTTGAAAAATAGAGAGATTAGGGATTTCTCTGTCCTCCACAGGAGTGTCACGTTTCCATGGTGATGAAACCAGCTCTTGATACTGGATTAACCAAGGTGATTCTGGGCTTCCTGTTTCCTCATTCCATGTACCTGGGAGACACACAGAAGAAAAGGGGAGAATGAGGGACATGTGAGACATGGTGGAAAGAAAACTGCCAGAATGCTTTGGATTTGTTCTGGTGAATGCCATAAAATGATATATCCAATGTTCATCATTTTGTATAGCACCACTATTAAGTAAGTGATTTTCTACTTTGAACAATACCTTTAGGGTAACTTTACAAAATATGAAAGATCAAATGAAACTTCAAAGCACCTCCCTTCACCCAAGTAGTTTTTATTGCCATCTAAATAAACTAAATTAAGGGAAAACCTACCTTACTCACTCTCTTGAGATATACAACTCGAAACTCCTGGCATCCACTCCCATATTTGAACTCCCCACAACTGTACCACCTAATCATCTAACTTACCAAAGCAGTTTTTGAACCCACCTCCTCAGCAAAACCTCATCAATCAAGRTGGAGATAATTCTGGACTGGGGAGGGCTGTGCTCTTTGTACTTTACCTCCTGTTATGGTTTGAAGGTGAAGTGTCCCCCCAAAAGCTCATGTGTGAGAAAATGCAGGAATATTCAGAGGGTCATTAGATTACAAGAGCTGTAATCAGTGGATTAGTCCACTTGATGGATTCATAATTTTAATGAATTAACGGGGAGTAACTCTAGGCAGGYAGGGTATGGCTGGAGGAAGTAGGTCACTGGGGATGTTTTCTTGGGGATATTATGCCTGGCTCCTTGCACTCAGGATCTCTGCTTCTTGGTTGCCATGAACTGAGCAGTTTTTCTTTGCCACACCCTCCACCATAAAGTTCTGCTTCACCGAGGGCCCAGAGATACGGAGTTGGCTGACCATGGACTGAACCTCTGAAACTGTAAGMCAAAACCAACTTTTCCTCCTCCTGAGTTGTTCTTATTGGTATATTGGTCACATTACACAAAGCAGACTGAACATGGTCTCCAGCCCTTACCACATCATTGAGTAGCATGTTATAAATGTATCAGTGGCTTCTAAACATAGCTGTGCATCAGAATTACCCCTTGCAGAGTACTGCACTCTATTCCATGACTCTGGAGTGAGGAGCTCTGGGAGAGGATGCCAAAATGCACAGTTTTACTAAATGTCAGGTTTGCAAGTCAGTGAAGTATTGGTTTGGTTTGTTTCTACTGCTTTTCTGTCCCCTATGGTTTTCTGCATCTGTTTAAGTGCATGGGATGCGTTTAAGTAGGATAATTATATACCTGCAAATACATCTGATAGGGTTTGTTAAAATGCAGGTTCCCAGGTACCACCCAGCCAAATGGACCAAATCTGACTCTGTGGGRTATGGCCTGGGAATCTGAATTTAAACAAGTTCCCCCATCCCTGTGCAAGTTATTCCCCCGCACAAAAGAGCCATTGCTCCTTCAGGAGTCAAACTGGAATCTCTGCAGGGACCAGGCAGGCACTTCAATGAATAAGGAAGACTGTGAAGAGTGATCAAAGGAAAACTGATATCCCACGTAAAAGGGTAGGCACTTCCTCGATCAAGCAGTTTTGCCTAAGCTTTGAGTTTTTCAAAAGCTAGAAATAAGGAGAAATTTAATTTCTCATGATTAAAAAACAACCAGTTTAAAAAAAAAAGTGGCCTCTGGCAATTTGTGCTCTCTGACTTTGAGGTTTCACCCACGTACCTCAGATCTCTGGTAATTGGCAATGTTTTATGTCATTAGGAGCCTGACCAAGTGACCTCTTATGCTGAATTATACAGTATAACCACAGGGTGACCAGGTCCTAAGGAYCATCTGGGACACTCCTACCATGTAATGTTTGAATTCCCCTCACAGTACTGATGATACACCAACCCTCTCATCTCTCATCCAGATCTCCTGCCTGCACTACATGGATCTGAATGTWTTTTGGCTATCTCCACTGGAATATTCTACCACTACCTCAAATGCAACACATTCACAAATAAAATTGTCATCTTCTAGTGCCATTCCTCYGAGTGCTTTTAGCCTTATGTTCTCTCAGTGAACAGCAATACTATCCACCAAAGCCAGAAACATGGGTGTCCATCTTGGTCCTCAACCCCTCCTCACAGCCCCTATACTGGAGATCTACCAAGTCGTGCTAAGTCTGCCTCCACCGGTGTGAAACCTGTAACCATCACCTAATCTAGTTAAGCTTCTTGCACGTTTTTCATTGTGAAAATTGCACACGCACTGTCTCATGGCCTCCAATTTGATTTTACAAAGAAAATCCTGGTCTTTGTCTAAGGGCTGGGACCCCACTAACCTTTCCTCTTTGGCTGAGAGTTGAGATTACTGGGAAGAGCCTAATTTATTAAAAATAAAATTCTGCAACCTAGAAAAGAATTTGAACACTTGCATGAAATTGAGGATCATGGAACTGGCCTTGAAAATACAATGTAGCTTTAATAATCAATCTTGTAGATTCCTTTTCATGTGAAAGGAAAAAGGGGACCAACATACAGTCAGATAGCTATGAGGGTAACACACTCTAGGTCATCTGTTGAAGAATTCTTGGCTGTAGGCATCTCCCACTTCACGTGTAGATCTAGAGAAACTCCCACCAAAGCAAAAGCCCCAGTTGCAATTCAGACTAGCTGGGGTCATGGCAGTGCTCCCAGTGCCTAGAATACTTCAGCAGGTTCTCTTCCAATTCAAAGCAATAACAGGCAAGAATGTGAAGGGTAGCCACCCACTTGTAGTAATAAGCATAGAACCTTAGGAACTTTCAAGTTCTTTCATAGTTATGTCAAACATCTACAGATTCAATCCTCTTATACAATCATGTTACACAATTTAACATGAAAATTATGCCTAAGTAATTAAGCTTTTCAAATTACAAAAATCGAGTGAAATCAAGTTCCTTATATAGGAATTATATAGGACTAAAAAGGGAACACATTTATGAAATAAGACAAAAGGAATTTTCAGGATCAGAACTGAATGCTTTAATAAAACACACATAAGAACTCTTGGGTGAAATATAAAACAAATATTTCTCTCCCCTTATTTTCAACAGATTTTTCCTAATGCAGAGATCTGAAACTAAAGATCCAGAAAGAAAATCTTGCCTAATGTTAGCTATCTTTGTATCAAAGGTTTGCGAAATGCAGAGGTAGACACATCAATTTATTCATTAGTGGTTAAGGAAGGAGGCAGACACTCTTTCAGCATCTCTCTAGATATCTTAGTTTGGATGATGGATAAAGAAGGAAACTCCTTAAAATGTCAAATCTAGAAAAGATACCATCTAGAAATAAGTGACAGCAATGCTTATTAAGTGATACTAAAATAAGAATCAAATTGTAGTATCTGTGCTCAGTGACACAGCAGTGTCAATGTACCTTTCCAATCTTATCCTCTTATCAAGTCCACATGGATCTTCTTTGTAGTGTAATTTTTTTTTATAAATAGTGAAAAATTTTTTGATTGGAAAAAAAAATAAAAGAGTCTAGGTCACCTAGGCCATTTGTTCTTGAAGCGCTCTGGTTGAGGGAGATCCAAGTGTGTATGTGCCTGAGTGAAAGCCTGTGGCTACCACATTCACAGCCTGTCTATCTATCAGCAGAGGCTGTTAGCACATTTATCAGAAGCCAGACAATGCCAGCTCTTTTGATATTAGGTCTCTGGGTGTAGCTTTCAAAATTATTCTTTGTTCCACTCTTCCCGTATTGTCAAACTGTGCCCAGCAGGTGGTATACAGTGTGAATTTCAAACATGTACTCTTAATATGCCCAAAACTGTTGCTGCAAAGAAAGGAAAAAACCCACATTAATCGAATCCTGCCCATTCTTTTTCGTTATGTCACAAAGGTATTTTTGATGTCCTAAAATGATATAAAATCATTTGTAAAACCATGTGATATCTTCAGGTGCTTAAAGCTACAGGTTTGAAAATATGTACTTGTTGTTATTAAAAGTAGTCGTTTTCTTACAATTCTGTAACAAAACCACATGGAGTAAGTAGGTGTCAACAACTTACAATGTTCTGGGCACTATGGCAAGTACCTATAGCCCCAGCTACTTGGAAGTCTGAGGTGGGAGGACTGTTTTGAGTCCAAGAGTTRGAGACTAGACTGGGCAATAAAGCAAGACCCTATCACAAATAAATAAATAATAATTTTGAAAACTTTTTTTCCTTTTACCCTGATCTTCCTATTGAAATACTGATGATCATTTGCAACATAACTACATCCATGGATAACTCATGTTCTAATATTTCTTTGTAATTCTCTTTGGAATATTTTTCTCACAATGTTTTTTGGAAGGTCACTATAATTCCCATTTTGTAGATGGCATATGGAGATAATAACAGCATCCACCCTCAAAGGATTGCTTGGGGGATTCTTTAAATCATCCACATTAAGAACATGAAGTATATGACCCATTATCTATTGAGTTCTCAAAACATGTCCGATACTATTAATATGCAAAAGAATCAGCAACAATATTAAAGTTTTCAGAAGTCTCTTTTAAGCAGGTTAATTTTGTTTGGGTCTTTCACTAGACCTGGAAGTTCTTCTAAAAATAAAGGTTCTACAGTTAACATATGCTAATCCATCTGTTTGGAATGTTCTTCCTCTCTTTTCTCCTGACTTAGAACCTCTTACCTGGATAATTCTTTGTCTTTAGAGCTTGGCTTGGGATAACTTTTCAGGGGCAGGCAGACCTTCCCCTCTTTTGAGTCCAGATTATATTACATATATTGAGGTACTTTCTCTACATGTTCCAGGCTATATCACAACTGTCTGCTTCTTTGCTGCACCTCCATGAYACTTCATGAGAGAAGGATCACATGTCTATTTTTATATACTACCTTAGCACAACAGGTAAGCATGATGCTAGAGCATAATGAATGTTCAACAATTATCTACTGCATTATATTTATTCTCTGAAATCTATTCTCAATGATCATCTATTGCATTATATCTATTCTCTGAGAGAGAAAGCTGCAGCCAGTTATGGAGTCAGCTGAGGATGAGGATGGTGAAACAGGATGTGGCAACCTAGGAGCTTAGTAAAARCAGAGGGCAAGAGCAATCAGCACCAGAAGACACCAGGTTCTATCTGGTCACTTAAGGCCAAAGTAGCAGAGACACACTCGAGATTCACTGATTTCTAGAAATTCAGATACCACCCCTGCAGCTTGGGAAATAAGAACCTGGGTCCACTGCACTGGTTTTTCATACATCAGGTAGAATGACTTAAAAACCAACAGAGCTCTAGATCCCAGTCTAAGAACTAACTAGAGTACTGTGTGAGTACCAGTACTAGTGTGAGTACTCTGCTGGCCACAGTGAGTCCAGTCTGACTCACAGACTCCCAAAGACTTACCAGACAGTTGGGGTGTGTTGTACTCGTCTGGCCCAGCATGGAGTTGCAGTGCTGGGGAAGAAACTTTGAGATTTTTGGTACAGCTGACGGTAAATGAATTGAAATGCTCTGATTTGTTACGGCAGTTGCATCATAGGAAGGGATGACTTTAGAATAATATCTGACAGCATGGAAGGAATTGAGAGAGAGGGCTGCACTGGGAATTCTAGTTTTATACAGATCGCCAATAGCAGCACTCTCTGAAGTGGAGYCTGATTGACCTGTAATAAGAAAAGAAACATCTGTTAATACTATGTACACAATTCCACATCTCTAGATGACCATACCATATTTGAAATATATTATCCTGTTTCATTTCCTCACATTACATACTTGTACTACTCATATGCTCAAATGCTGATGGAAAAGTGATATTTAATACAATATAGACATTATAAATTAGTTTTCATGTGTCATGAAAAAAGATTTTAGAGGAGCAGCAAATTTCTGTGCTTCTTGGAATGTGTGTGTGTGCTTCTTGGAGGGTGTGTGTGTGTGTGTGTGTTTGGCTTTCATCATCATCGAAACTGGCCATCTCTATGAAGGAAGGAAGAATGTAGGAAAGAACAACTCCATTATCCATTGATAAAGCTTAACTGATTTCTATAAATGAAGTGAGAAATAAAATCTCATTCCACAGAAATATTTAAATATATAATGTTAACAYTCTAATTTCAAGTAACACTGTGAATATCAATAATTTTGACATCAATAATAATGAAAGTGAAATAATGTTATATTTTATGTATAAATGCAAATGTACCTGGAATATTTGTGAAACGTAATTAAAGAAAATGTGTACATAGATTAATGCAAAAGACAAGCTGATAAAGTCTAAACACATCTGTGTTACAGATTAGGCTTAGCACGAAGTCTTAGGGCCTTGGGTACCCATTTAGCTTCTACAGCTTTCAATTTTCTGACCTGGGTGGTAAAAGTGAAATTTGCAAGGATTAACTCACAGCAATTCTTCTGATCCTCTTTCAAAACTAATTTGGCAATATACATTAGGAGCTATATATATGTATACTCATGTTCTCTGTTCTCTAACTCATCCTTGACATACTTCCAGGAAAGCAGCTCAAAGAGAAGCCCCAAATACAGAAAACCCTATATATGGGGAAGTATTTCCAATCATGTGATGTGTACAATTTCTCTGCCCCCAAATAGAAGGACTAAATATAGYAAGTGGAAGATGGCTAAGAAAATTACTCCATAAATCATTTGCTAAACTATTAAAACCATTAAGATGATGATGAAAGCTGTGTAACAACAGATTAACAGCATATTTAATATGAAGTTAAGTAAAACAACGAGGAAACAAATGGGATGTTCAATATGTTTACTAGTATAGAAAAATATACCTGGAAAAAAGACTTGAAGAGAATATACACAAAATGAACACTTCTGAGCTTAGTCAGATTAGCACAGGATGTGTGTTGCTTTTCAAAAGGAAAAATATACATAAACAAAATAAAAATGGGGATTTGACTGATTGACCTTGCAGGTCTCCTCTGGTTTAAACATGCCGCAAGCCTCTGCTCCTAGTGAATTTGTGTCTTCCTAAGAGCAGTCTCTTTGGATGATGCAATACTGTGAGATGCAAGAAAGGCCTAAACACTGCCATGAAAATGGTTCTTTAGATTTTCTGCACAATATAAACAGTACTGCAAGTACAAGAAATAACATTGACAGGGATACACCTGTGGTCTGACCTCTATCTTATTTAATCTAGGCCAATTTAATGATGCCATGTCACATTCAGCCACAGGTACTATAAGCAATCTAACTGTGGCTCATGGTGACTTCCCCTGCTCCCTTCTCCTTCTCTCTTCCCTAGTCCAGGAAAGAAGTCTAAATTGACCAAAAATACAAAACAAAATTTTTAAAAAACAAACAAAAAACACACCCTGAGGCTTCTCCAATTACATGAACAAGGAGGACTATTTTATTTTTGATCCCTTTTTCTTCTGATCTTAGACACCAATCCTAGGGACTTCTTTTGTTCCTTTGGTCCCCACTCTACCTCCATACATGCACACAGTACCTCTACTATAGCACTTAAAATACCAGGTGAACCATGATTTGCTTTTGTGATGTTCTCTGCCACTGATTTGCAAGCTCTATGAGGAAAAAAAGAAATGCATCTTGTTCATCTTATGTGTCCTTATCATTGAGGCAGGGAAATTTAAGCTGAGAATTAAGGGACAGAATTGGAATAAATTGGAGAGTGCGAGGGGGAGACATTCTCAACACAAGGGAGGTGCTGAGAGCAGAATCTCTTGGAAGAAGTCAGCAGAAGGGTCATCTAAGACAAGCTAGCCAGAGAGAAAGGCAGTCTGGTTCCCCAGCATTCAACATTCAGGAGAGTAATTCCATGCCATACTGGTTTCTCAACTGAGATTTATCTTTAGGAATACCAAAAGTCACAAATTAAATGTGTGTTCTTTTTGTCTGGCTCTGTTCTTTCCCATCTTCTTATTTCTACAAGTACATGGGCAGATATAGGTTTATATAGCACATATAACACAAAGGCCTCCCAGTGGGCAATGAATGTTTGCATAATGAGCATTTATTGAGCACCTCCTGAGTGCTGGTAATTGTTCTAGGTATTAGAAATATGATCAATGAACAAAACAAGCAAAGACAAAAAGCAAAAAACCTCCCACCTCAAGAATCAGCATTTTAATGGGAGAAGATAGGCAATAAATAAAACATGCAAGTAAAGACTATTAGCAGGTGGTGTTATGAAGACAAATCCAGTAAAACAAGTGAGTGAGGAGTCCCCTGCAACATGTATGGTGAGGAGGTATGTGCAGCTTTAACTGGGCAGTTGAGAAGGACTCACTGAGAAGGCAATATTTAAGCAGAAATGTGAGGTGGTAAATACTACGTTAAATGCTCAGTACACAATAAGTACTGAATCAATATGAATATAATCAGCCCTGTGTATCTATGGATTCCTCATCTAGGGATCAACCAACCATGGATTGAAAAAAAAAATTTAATTACATCTGTACTGAACATGCACAGACTATTTTTCTTGTCATTATTCCCTAAGTAACACAATATAAAAACCATTTACATAGCATTTACATTGTATCAGGCATGTAAGTCACATAGAGAAGATTTCTTGTATGGGAGAGGAATACACATTCTATATGCAAATACCACGCCATTTTGCATAAAGGACTTGAGAATCCACAGAGTTTGGAATCTGCAGGTGGACCCAGAACAAATCCCCCATGGATACTGAGGGACAACTTTACTTCCCTTCCCTTTAGATTCTATTTATATAATGAACCAAATTATCAATGCGCTTATCACTGATGTGTTTTCTGGTAATTAAGGTCAACTTTGAACACAAGTTCTGGGATAACACTATTTAAATGTCCACAGCCACCTTATGAACTTCAAGCTGACAATACCGGAAGGACTCATGGTGTAATCTTTCAGCTATGCTTGATCCCCTGGTCATGGGAGCAAAGGTACAGAAGCCCAGATGTACAAAGGTTGTCCATGCAGGCCCCAGCATCCCATAAGCAGCAAAGGCATTAGATGTGGCTCACCTCTCACAACTTGATCCAAGGAGTCCCCTGCAGTAGCAATGGAATACATATTCAAGCACTTGTTAGCCAGGAACTGGATCCCTCTCACAGGGGAGTAAGTGCTTGTCAACAGACTGTTTTCCCTTAAAAGGAAACAATAAATAACAGTTTTTATATCCCTCTAGAACTTGCTGAGTTCAAATGCTCTTTAACCAATCAAGTCCTAAAAAATCCTGACAGAACCTCACCTATGGATTATTTAAAATATGAGAACAAAGAGTTGAACGGGACCCAGGAGGCTTCTCTAAAATGACTGGCTTTTCCTCTTTGTTTATGTATTCTAGTAAATCTAAATAAGTAAGCTATTGTTTGGTATGTCACATTTTGTACTAGGGAGTTCCTTTAAGGACTAACTGAAACAGGGCTGCATGCACCAGGGCCTTCAACCTCCTGGATGGAGGAGCATTAGAATCCATCATGCCCCTGCTGGGCTCCATTGTCACTATAGTCTGGGGCAGCCAACCTTATTTTAAGGTCCTTCAGTAACAAGAGGAAGAGTGAGAAGAATGATAAAACAGCCAGGAGCCTGAGAATATTACATGTGTTTATCACTATAATGAAATGATACACATCAGCAATAAGTACCTGAGTTCTCACTGTGGATGAATTCAATTCCTGTCTACACATCTGGCATCAGCATGGGAGGAAAATAACAAGCCGACTTTGGACTTGCAAGAGCCCTAATCATACCTTTGTGCCAAGACAGTGCCTGGGAGGGATAGCTGGATAGGCATTTGTTTCTTGCAAAACCTCCGATTGTTCTGAAGGGCTTCTGTAATCTGAAACATACAATGATTGACAGATAATGTTGGATAGACAATAGATATTTTTATACATATACAAAGACACATTGATTTCCAGTTTAAAAAATTGAAATAAAATTCTATAGCATTAAAGCRTTGTCTATAAGGATAAAATTCAAAGCTTTAGGAGTTGAATACCTGGCCCATAATGGCTGGAGGGATTTTGTCCCGGATATATTTCACATAATCAACKGTTGCCTCAAGAATTGAAGCCGTGTCATTCTTTCTCCCCTTTATATACGGCAAGAGAGTACGCAGTTGCTCACAGCAATATTTGATTCGTTCTCTGATCAAAGAATTGCAGTAAATAAGGAATAATTAGTCTCGTTTGTTTCCTGCACACAAGGACAAACAATCCTTCCTTCCTTCCTTCTGGGTTTATTTGCAAAGGAATGGCCTATACTCCTTCCCATCTAGTCTGTTTCAGAGAAAGGACATGTCCCCACAAGACAGCGACACTCACAACTTCTGAAATCACAAACTCCCAGGCACCTGCTGCACAAGGAACTGCTGTCAAGGTCCAATGTCTGCACCTTGTACCCAGATCCCTCATCCTGGGCCTGTGCAGGGTGCACACACAGTGGGGAAAACACATACTCTCACTGCCTACAGAAAACTACTGAACATTCTGCCCTCTGAGGAGAGAACCATGTMCTCTGTGTATGTGTGGTCTTGTAAAGATACATATACACGCAAAAGGATATATATATATGCTTTTGCAATTCACACTAAAAGTCAGAAGGCAAGAAGCAGTCAGCATTCTGATGTAACTGGGACTGGACCAAATTTCAACAATAGATYAATTACAACCTTGTAACACATGGGCTTTAACACGTAATTCTGTGGCCTGAGCCAAAGGAAAATGAGAAGATGATTTTCTTTCCATGAGGGAAGTGTAGACAGAACAAATAAACCAATATGCAAATGAGAACAATGTGCAGGATAATATCAGAGGGAAACTAGATCTTTCAAAGTTCTGAAGGGAAATAGTCAGAAATGTAGATCTGATTTAATCCCTTGAAGCCTTCATTCATCAGTGTGCTCATTTATGAAGTATTATTAAGCATCTGTTTGGGGCTGGATACAATGATGACATACAGGGTGACTGTGCTAATTACTAGCTAGGACTGTAGGCAAGTACTAAACTTCTCTGGGCCGTGGAATAGCAGAGAAATGAAATTTTTAAAATGTAATCTGATATACAGTTAGTGGATAACAAATATTYTAGATGAGTGATATTTTCACTGGGCTTTGGGAGTTCTAGGGTTTCTTCAGAGATGTCAGAAACATTTATGAAAAGAAAAGGGTGGGAAAGTCAACAATTTATGTGACTGGATTTAAAACTTTTTATAACTTTTTTTAGTATTTTAAAATTTKTTCTTAGTTATAGATAGACACAGTACCTTTATGTTATTTATTTATTTTTATGTGGTGCTGAGGATCAAACCCAGTGCCCCACACATGAGCCACAACTGCAGCCCAAAAACTTTTTATAACTTTTGACATGGTACTTACAGGGATAAWCTAAAACAAAACAAACTGTTTATAAAAAAGATAACTATTATGGAAGTACATGTTAGTAAAATATGGAAAACAGTCTAAACATTACAAGGATGCCTTAGGCCAACTACAGTGCACTAGTTCAGTAGAATAACATTTGGCAGTGGAAGGGATATTTTATAAAGCTTATTGGAGAAAAAAACAGGATGCAAGACAGCATGTAGAATATAATCCCAGCCATTAAACAAAGCAAAAACGAAGCACAGAAAAAAAAAAGACTGAAATAAATATATTAAGTAATAGTTATTTCTGGATGGCACTGCTATGGGTAATACTTCTTTTTTARATTTTTTACACTTTCCAAATATTTTTGCTAGACATATGTCACTTTCATCATGAAAGATGCTTTTAAATATTTTCCCCAGTATTAAGTAGGAAAATGTTTGAACATASAGAAAAGTTGAAGAATCACACAAATACCTATGTACCCACTGCTTGGTGTTTAATTAATATTCACTGTATCTGCTTTAATCGTACATATATATATCACCTCACTATTCATTCATACATCAACCAGTTTTATCACAGAAAAGCATTTCAAATTAGGTTGTAGACTTCAACCCTGAATGTATCAATTACCAAAGCTCAAATTACTTTATTTTCAGRTAAAAGTTATGTAAGATAAAATACACGAATCTTAAAGGTCACATTCTATGAATTTGAACAAGTACATACATCTGCACATCAGAAAAGCGCATCAACAGTCTCAGAACCCCAGAAAGTTCCCTTTGTTTTTTTCCAGTCATTGCTACCATCATTCCTGTAAGAGGCAACCACATTTCTGACTTTTTTTCCATCCCACATTACTTTTGCCTGTCCTCAAGCAGCACATAAATCAAATCAAATCTTTTTATAAGGCTTCTTTTACTAGGCATGCTTTTGAGATTTTATCCATGTGGTTGCCTATATCAGAAAGAAGCCTGCTTCTTTTTGCTGAATAATAGTAATCTACAGTATCAATGTGCCACAGCATATGTATCCATTCCCTTGTTGATGAACACTTGGGCTGTTCCCAGTGTTTGGGTCATTATGAATGTGGCTTTACCATTCTGTACATCTTTTTTTGTGAATGCATGTTCTTATTTCTCTTGACTAAACATCTAGGAATAGAAATGACAGGTCATTTTATAAATTTATAAAAAAAACTAGAAGCACTTTTACCAAAGTAGTACCATTTGACACTCCCACCATCAATGGATCAGACTTGTTTYGTATCTTTTAGCAATATTCAATATTGTCTGTAGTTTAAATTTGTGTCTTTCTACAAAATACATGGTAATATCTCATTGTTCTTTAATTTTCACTTCCCTCACAACTAATGATGTTGAACAACTTTTTCCTGTGCTTACTGATCACTTTTATACCTTCCTTTGTAAAGTGCCTGTTCAAATATTTTACCTACATTTTAACAGGAATCCTGGGTATTATTATTATTAAGTCTTAGGGATTTTTTTCCCTACCTTTGGTATTTGTCAAGCATATCTGTTTAGCAAATATTTTGTTTTTCTGTAGATGTTTTAGGTCTTTATACAAAAATTATCATGACATCTACAAGTAAAAGGGCTTTGCTTCTTCCTAATTTTCACATCTGTTTCTTATTTTGTCGAATTACAATGGGTGGGACTGTCTATGTAGTGAAGAACTGAAATGATTAAGGATGGGCACACTTATCTTGTTTCTGATCTGTTTTAAACAGTCAAAATTTTAGCTATAGAGGAGGTTCTTTTCCACATGTATCTGYCAAGAGATTTTTGTTTTATYARGAAACAATAATCCTRTCAAGTTTTGTTTTGTTTTGTTTATGGTGGTGGGGACTGAACCGAGGGCCCCAATGCATGATAGGCAAGAAAGCACACAGTCTGAGCACGTAGTTGCACTGTAGCCCCAGCCCAAGTCACTTTTCTAAACCTGCTAACAACATGCTTTTTCTCCTTTATTCCTGCAAATGTGGTGGATTTCATTGGTTGATTTTTTTTTTTTTTTACAATTATACAAGTCTAGGATAAACTTGTGGTCATAATACATTATATCATTTTTTATTTAGTTTGCTAAAATTAYGTTAATTATATTTGTGTCTATGTTCATGAGGGATACTGRTCTGTAATTTTTTTCTATAATATCTGTGTCAGACTTAGGATTATGCTAGCCTCATAAAATGGGTTAGGAGGTGTTCTCTACTTTMTTTACRAGTTTGTTTTRGATTGGAGTTGCTTCTTTAAATGAAAGTTGTTGGTAAAATCAACATGAAGTTTTTCTTTTTGGTAAGGTATCAGTAGTAGCAAGTTCAATMTCTTTAAGATTAGGCTATTCATGTTTTCTGCTTCACATCAGTTTTGTCAAAATGCTTAAGAATTTGTCCATTTCACCTAAGTTGTTCAATCTATTGGCATAACATAAACCACAGTGTTTCCTCTAAATTTTGCTTTGGCTGCATCTCACAAATTTTGATATATTCTATATATTCCCATAAATCATTTGCTTTGAAATATTTTCTTTTATTTTCCTGTTGAATTTTTTCATCCATTCATAAATTATTTAGAACTTTGTTTCTAATTTCTAAGTAATACAGGTTTCCCTTTAAGTTTTACTGATTTCTAACAACTTAATTGTGGTCAGATTACATACTTTTCATGAATTCAACTCTTTTTCAGTGAAATGAAACTTCTTATACCTTAGCACAYAGTCTATGTAAGTCAATGTTCTGCATGCCCACAAAAAGGAGAGAGGAGTGCTCTGCTGCAGTTGTTGGGAGTATTCTATAAATATCCATCACATCAAGGTGATTAAGAATGTTCACACCTTCTGTATCTTAATGATTTTTTTTTTTTTGGTATCTAGTTGTATAAATTGCTGAGAAAGGGATGTTAAATCTATAACAATTGTTGTAAAATTGTCTATTTGTCCTTTTAATTTTGATCTAAATATTTTGACACTCTATTATAATCCATATTTATGATTTTTATCATTCTGATAAACTGACACATTTGTTATTACAAAATGTCTTTTTTAATCTCAAATGACATTGCTTTTAAGTCTATTTAATTTTATATCAACATAGCCAATTTGATSGTATACTGTTTTCACAGGGTGTATTTCTCTATTAATTTATTATATCAGTATATTTAAAGTTTATTTATTATAGACAGCAGGGAGATGATTRTTTTTTGTTTTGATGTTTTATTTTGGTGRTACTGGAATTGAACCTAGGACCACATGCATGCCAGGMAARTAGGCAAGTACTTTAACACAGAGCTATATCCCCAGGTATATTGGTCTTGATTTTTGTTTGTTTTGATCTATCCTGACAATCTCTGCCTATYAATTGGATARATATCTTCCATTTTAATGTTTTTCCTGTATTTTTTTTTTGTTTTTGTTCTCTTTTCCTAGCTTCTATTTGAATATTTTTAAAACTCAAATTTTAATATTTAAAGTTTATTTGTCCTTTTTTTATTTTTATGTGCCCACCAAAATGAGAGAGGAGTGTGGCTTCTTATCTCACTAKAATTGTCCTAGGGATTACCATATGWATCTGAACTTTTCATAGTMTATTTAGAGTTAATATTTTATGACCACATAAAATATACAAATACTGCAGTCACATAAGGACATTTATCCCACTCACTCTTCATGTTATAATTTTCATATCTACAACCTCTACAGACATTACAAACCCCACAACACAACTGTATAATTTCTGCTTATAATATTCTTTAGTGTTTTAAA